TCGGGTCCCACTAGTTGCCATTTCATAAAACCTGTGAGTGAGAATATATACATATATTCCCTTCACCCATTCACTATTTGTGAATGGCCCATGCAATTTACAAATTAAAACAAAGTAAAATGCATTTAAACAACGCGCGCACTAGTAACTAATCTAGGTGGTTAATCCGATTAAAACGCCTAATTAAAACTAGTCAAAGTTGTTAAACCGATTATATAAATTACGTCATTAATAATTGAAGCTCCCATTAAATTCCGCATTTCCTTAATTAATCCAATTAATTAAGTCGGTAGCACCCAAACTTGTCAAAATGAAATTTTGCCAATGCCGCTCAAAACCGAGGCCTAGCCTCCCAAAATTTTAATTAAAATAAACAAAGTTAATTAAAATAAGTAAAACGGCAAAATAAGCAACATCAAGCCTACTATGGCTAGCCACCTCACCGCACCAAGCATACACACACGCCAAGACCACGAACACACGGCCCACGGCACACGGCCGCGAGCTGCTGCCACGGCACAGCCGCGCGTGGCTGCTGCAGCCCGCACCTGCTGCCGCGCGTGGCTGCTGCAGCCCGCACCTGCTGCCGCGCGTGTGCTGCTGCCTTGCGTGGCTGCTGACGCGCGTGTGGCCGCAAGTAAGGCGGTGCTGCCACCTTGGCAGCCACATATGGGTTGCTATGCAGCCCGGCTCGCCAAGGTGATGCAATGCCTCGTTTTGCGTGCCACGACCTCGGGATTTGATCCTTTTTCGCGAGACAACAATAATTAATTCTAAATTAATTTTAGAACTAATTTAGAGAGCAAAATAAAATTTTAAACAAGTCTAACTTAATAAAATTTTCAAAGTGCAAATAACCAAAATAATTCCAAGAACCATTCTTAATTAAATTGGTTTAGCTTGGTGCAACATAAAATTGAGGCAATTTCTCACTTTCAATTTAATCAATTTAAATTAAACTTGAGAATTTGACAAAGTAAAGGGAAGTTGGAAAAATATGAACTTTAATGTTCAAATGAAAATTCCAACATCTATATTATGTGAATCCTTGAAAATTATATCTTCCAACATGAAGATAACCAAATTTCTATCACAAAAATCGAAACTTTATGTTTCCAATCAACTTAAAATGAGTAAAACATCAAAATTTAATACAAAATAACATGGAATTTAGTGGTTTTTAAAGTTTCAATCACTTATCACAAATAAAGATTGAATCTTTAACACTTATGGAAGCCTCAAAATTAAAACTTTCACACTAAAAAGCAATTAGTTTGCAATTATGTGAAAATAAATCAACCTTTAAGCATCAAATACTACCAAGTAAGTGTGCTTTAAGGGGACATAAAATTGCAGAAAATAATGCAAATAATCAACCATATAATCAACAATTTATGCCATTAATTTCAAGGTTAGAAAAGACTTAAAAATTTTCGTCAAAAACAAAAAACCCCTCGAAAAAGGCATTTCTGGTCAGAATTTGGCTAAAATCACAGCCCCCTCTAGGGTTATAAACCTTTCCAGAACACGTTTTCCACCCAAAATTCACTAGTCTTGGGCGAAAATCTGGGTTCTGGGCCAAAATTGACATTAAAAACGGGATTAAAATAAATAAAACCGAGCTACTAATCTAATTAGCAACTTAAACCAGAAAATTAAGCCAAAATAAACCTTGAAAAACATGATTATAAAAATAAACGAGCGGGGCTCCGATACCGCTGTTGAGGTTTGGTGAGTCCGACTCACCGCGGAAATAAACCCCGACCCAAGGAACCACTCGCAATAATTAAAATCATAAAGCATAAATAAATAATCACTAAGAAAAGATAACGAATCTTACCCTCGAAGCGAGCTTCGCCCAAAAACCGGGGCTCTTACTTGAAAGCTACGAGCACGTCAAGCGCCGCGCCTCCAACGGTATCCACCCACAAAAAGGCGAACACAACTTTAAGGTCTACTACCTGGGGGTTAGCGAGGTCCGACCAAAACCCGAGTGTTATATGAGTTTAAGAGTTTTCGCAATATTATGGAATGCTCTTTTTAACTCCCACTCAAGCATCATTTCCTATGCCCAAAGTTGGGTATTTATAGGGAATGATGGAGTATGAAAATCTCTCCCATCAATGTGGGACAATGAGATTTTCTCATTTTATTTTAAAGCTAAAATAAAATTATTAAGCAAACTAGTAATAAATCAACAAGTGTCAAGCATACATGAGAGAGTAGGTGAGGACCACTTGGAGATGGGGACCAAACTTGCTCCCCACTCTCTCCCTCACCATGTGCCACATGGTAACCCACTTGCTCCCAACCTTCCCCTTATACACGGCCCTATGGACCGAGCCAAGCCACGAGCCAAGCCCGAGCCCGGCTAGAGCCCGGCTCGCACCCAGCCCGCACCTGGCCCGAGCCCAGCCCGCACCTGCTGCTGTTGTGGCGTGGCGCGGCTGCGGCTGCTGCTGTGCCTAGCCGCGGCTGGCCGTGGCTGCAGCACGGTGTGCCGGCTAGTCTTGCCCCTAGCATTCGGATGCTCGGGGCACTCCGATGCTAGGGGTATTTTCGGGAATATTGTTGATTTATTATTATTTTGCGCATCTCGTCTTTTATTATTTAGACTCGACTTCCGAAGCTCGAATTACCGACGTCTAATTATTTAACACTCGGGCGACGAATTAATTTCTGCCGAATTAATTCGTCGAGTTGGTTCGCATATATTTGCTTATGTGTGACCCAAAGGGTTCGGTCAAGATTAAGCTGTAATATTAATTATATTAATATTACTGATCGAAAGCGGCCTCCACCCAGGCATTCCGATCACTTAACCTTACTGAATATATTAGCTTTCTAATAATTCTGAACCCGCTATCAGAATAATACACTTGTTCGAAGGACACTATTCCTTTCAGGCGGCTCCCTACTTTCCTTGTCCCTAATCATATTATGTCAATTCCCACTTCCTATGAGTGCCAAGAATATGCAACACATGCTTTAACGTAGGCGCACTTCAAACGACGCCTACAATAATATGTTATTGTGGTGCATAGGATATGTACTCAAGTTTTGCTGATTCGTACTTTTGTGTTTGTGTTTGGCTTTCCTTTGGTTGGCCCTACTATGACCAATTTATATGGTGAGTAGAGGGTTGAAAAAAAGGGGAAGTAACAGATACTTGAATCATGAAGAGCATGGTGGGAATAAGTGCCGAGAGTTACTTGTTATGCTATCCTAATTTTATGCTTCAAATTATTTTATCATGGACTAACCTTTATATGTTATTAAAAGTTGAATTTTTTAAAGGACCATGTTTGGAATGGTTCCAACTTGTGATTTAATTACTTTTATTTCGTTTTGAGGCTGTGAACTCAAGTTTTATTTTTAAAAGTTGGTTTTTAATTTTAGACTTCCGCTGTGTAACTTTGAAAAATAGTCTTAACCATTATCACGGTGGCGATAATATTTTGGTCATTTCCTTAAAATAGTTTTAATTAGAATAAAAAGAGTAATTTAAAATAAGGAAATTTCCGGGGTATTACAACAACACCTCTCTCTTCTTTTAGTCTAGATGACCAGATTTAAGAACTCAATCATCAGTTTTAATGGAGTTTTTCACCATTTTATTTTTTTCCTTTTCTTTTGTATAAAAAGTGAGTCTTTCCTCTGAAAATTCACCAAAATTTATATCATTTGGTTGTTCGCTTCATTCACGCGTTTTCCCTTTTTTTAATTAAACTTTTTTTTTCTCATTACTGAGTCATCTGACTCACCATGCACCCATGTAGATCCGCCATTGAATGGTTCATAGAAATTAAATATGTTGAAAGATTAAGAAGAATAACAAATGATCTGAATAACTTTCAAATTTAGGTTCTTTAATGAATAAGACTTTGCCCACCTAGCCATCGACGTCGACATTGTGACTTTGAAGTGTACCCAAGAGAGTACATCCGTAAAACTCTGATGATAGCCTTGTATGACAATTAGGGCTACTTAAGGGAGAGAGTGGCCGGTTTAATTGTGGTGGGAGGGGGTTTGGAGAAGAAAATGGCAAACTTCATTGTTGTTGTTGTTGTTGCAAAAGGTGAAGAAGAGATGAGTTAAATCATATTTATGTGGTACCGGTCAAACTCACACAACATTTTCCCTAAAACTATTCAGGGGTAGAAATCAGTGGCAGATCCAGGAATTGTACATAGGGGGTTTGAACTACATCAAACACCCAATATCTGAATACAGGGATATAAATCGGGTATTTAAGTATAAAATAGAGTGTTCAAATAAATACCAATACATAAGTACACAACAAAATAAGTCCAAATTCTAATAAAAATGCAAAATAAAATGATCTGATACCAACGTTACACGGTACATGGGATGGTTGGTATAGTGGTACGTGAACAGGAATGCGGAACGTAGGCTAAAGACCGTAATATATGGTTATGGAGTTCCCAATTTTTTTTTAATTAGAATTTTCTTGTTTTAATAGACTTATTACAGTATTTACTTTCTTTGGACTTTACAATTACCCATGCGTATCCTTTTCTCAATACATAGAACTAAAGTTTTTTTAAAAAAATTATAAAAAAGAAAAATACACAGTTGTACACTACTTACTATATAGTAAATACTAGGCCGTAAGCACTAGTTTCTTCATTTTCCCCATTAATGAAACTTGAAGCCTTAAATTAAACCTAAAAACTCAAGAAGATAGAGAATACTTTCACTACAAATGGGTACTCCATCAAACACGAACCAAATTTTTATTTTCTGGATCTAACAGAATTCCCCCTTAACTCCCGCTAAATCCGCCCTTGAGTAGAACTAAATTAATGTCATTAAACTATGGGTATTTAGTACTTATTGAGAATTTAGATTTTGTACCGGATGACTGTTTCTGACAAATAACCTTATTTAATGATATCATCTCTTCCATGAACCATTTTTTTTAAAAAATAAAAAAATCGCCTCAATTACAAATTCATTAGTTGCCTACAAAATGGACATTGTAAAAGAAAATAATAAAATGTGTTGCCTGTTTCTTACAATTGAAAAACCCATGCAATTTCTTCCAAACATGTGTACTTCGTATATTGTATTAAAACTAGAATGCTGGATACCAACATTTTGCACTATCAAATTGAAAAGATAATTACAATATGTACAATTTTACTTAGATGTTCTACAATTTTTGAATAAAAAATACCTTGGTGTGGGGAGTTCCTTGAATGAGGTATTTTACAGATAGGAGAGCATTTAGGTAATCATTTTATATAGAGATCTCGTTCGATTTAGACCCATCATGTTTAACATACTCAAGGTTACATCGATGCGGTGGAATATCCTAGTTCTTGCTTTAGGGAAGGTCAGACGTTGCTAGATCTGAGCTTTTCAAAAGTGCCTCGTCGTTTCCCTCATCCAACTTAGAAGAATGATGGATTGGCTTATTGCGATACAGCACGTAGTGCTGCACCATAAACAGGAGATCAAAGAAGATAGACACCTGCATGACAATTTGACGTCAGAAAACTGCTTTAAAGTAAAGATAGGTCAGTAAATAGAAGGCGAGAAATCAGATGGACTGCATACAAGAGACAGCAGTGTCTTCCCAATATTTCCATAGAAATTCACCCAAGAACCTACAGGAAAAAACAAAGATTAAAATATATAAATTGGCAACTTTACGAGATAAATTTAGATTTGTAAAAACAATATACTTGTTATATAAAGGATTTCACCTTGATCAATAGACTGGGTAGCCATTTGTCCGTAGTTCGTCACCCCTCCAAGAAAATCAAGTAAAATATTTCCTATACTAAATCCTTCCGTGCTTTTCCTATAGAAGTTCATAAATGCCTAAAGTCCAAAAATGTAAAAGACTGAGTACCCTTTCAAAATGTGAAAAATTATTTTTGAATAAACCAATGCAACATAAGAGAAAATATAGTACACAGATACTCTCCAACACAAATTTTACAAACTGCAAGAGCTATTGCTAGTCCTCCATAGATGTTGATACACTCAACTCGTTATCGAAATAAATCATACAATACTATAAAATTAAGTGTGGTAAAGTGTACTAGTTAACAAGCAATCATGTTGTCATCCCTTTCTATGTATATCAGTAACAACACTATGGAGGGAGGCTAATACTTTCAGGGTGATTAACTACATGAAAAAGCTAGTAACTCGAAGAGTTGATGCAACATATATATGATTTCAGGTTTGCAAACAAGATTAGATGGGTGTGGATTATTTGCATTCGACGCTTGCCCCTAAGATTATTACCTTTAATCTTTCCTAGCAGAGGCCAAATCAGTCAATCTATGACTGGACATCATGTTAATTCTAAGACTTGCAACATCACAGTTTAGATAAAAGGCAATAACAATTATTCATTAAGTCAAATATCATCAAATCATCAACCGAAGTACAAGACAATTTAAAAGAAGCCAATACCAACCTGGGGAATATATTTAATGACAGTCATGGTAACCTGAATAGTGCTGCAATATTAAAACAAAATGGTAATCATGTTACGAAGGGATCAAAGAATTTGTAGAAAGTCATCATTCATCAAATGCTTTGAGTATTTAGCCCACAACAGGAAGGAATATGGTATCTTATATGGTAAAAAAGAATTATATATATATATATATATATATATATATATATATATATATATATATATATATATATATATATATATATATATATATATATATATATATATATATATATATATATATATATATATATATATATATATATATATAATCCACTTGCCTTAATAAGATAATAAGAATCAACATTGAAACGAACCCTTCAAAGTCATTAGTGGTTAATGCATAATTATACAGTATTCTGATTACAAAGCTGAAACACTCGGTTGCGGAATAACGTGTGCATAACAACACCGTTGCACATCATAGCTTGCTGCCAACTACAAGAGCTGGAGAAATTAATGGCAGAAGCCAAATCATTCAACAATGAAATGGCAATGTAGTCAATTCCAATCTACACCTAAATGCAAATTTAAATAGGAAAATAAGTGCTGTACACAACCATCAATAAAGAGTGTCAAAGTCAAATCCTAATGTAATATGAAAGTTTGTTTGTACCTGGTGATATACATTAACCTGGAATTCTGGAAGAAAATCAGTTTAAATCACATATATAGTTTCTCATACTAGTCTTTAGATTCCTCAATTGTAATACACACAATATGACACACTAAAAAGTAGCTACACACTACTACTGGTCCAATCCAAATTCCAAACAACCAATCATTGATGAGGAAACAAGTTTATCACCTTCAAAAGATAAAAGCAGCTTCTTTTGGAACAACCATTATAGTACTTTGATACTATTTTGTAAAGGAGGGGGCAACGAGGATCTAACCATGGCACTATAATTCTAAAGAATTCAACACAACTTAGAGTTAAAGATATCATGGAAAAGTGGGTTGAGACTTCTAAGGATATGGGAGACATTGGCCAAAACCAGAGAATCAGTCATTTGCATATTTAAGGAAGCGTGAGACTATGGCCAAACCCAGAGATTCTGTCATTTGCATGTTTGATGAAAAGCACACACAACTATCTTGATTTAGCTTCTAATTGAATGATATCATCTTGAATAACACATTATGCTTTAATGTTTAGTGATTACAACACAATTAGATGCTTGAGAAAGTGCCGAATAGAGCTCCAAAAGTATGAGAACTTAGAGGACTGGAGCTTTTTTTTTAAAATTGAGAGAACAAAAAAAAAAAATTCAAACTCATCTTTAAAGGAGGATCAGACGTCCAACAGACCTAAAATGAGTAAAAACCTAGGCTAAGGGGTCAAAGTTAGCTTATAAAGTGGACACCTACACTTGAGCCTTTGACAAGTTCCTGGCACATGTTAAGCCCGTGAGGTGGTGCACAACTCTCAAGGCATTGGCAAGCTTAAGTAACCATTTACATAAAATTAAAATGGTGATGTTAATTCAAAATGTGAACATAACATAAAATTAAAGATGAAATTTAAGCATTTGAGAGACTAGCCTCTCATCAAAGTTATCTGTGTAAAACCAAAATAAACTTCCCAACCTCTAATTATATAGACATCCTGAATCCCCTTTCCCTCTAAATTAGTTTTTGAGTTTTTCCTCAAGCTACCTAGCTAAATTATTGTGCAATTGCAATTCTACTCCGATTAAGGTTGGTTAAATGATGAGCAAAAGATGTTGATCTTGATTGATAAAGTGAAAATCACAAAAAATAAAGACAAACTTGCCTCAACAACCTGAACTATAGCTTGGGTGCACCCAACACCCAAACTTTGAGTAGCATGTGGTACACCATCAACTATTGATTGGGTGCAACGCATGTTATTAATGAGAATATTGGGCACTCAAACTGAGATCCTTTCTGGTAGTTATAGTGTAATTGATGGCACCCGTTGCAACCCAATCGATAGTTTGTGGTGTTCTAGCTAATAGTCAGGTGTTGGCTGCACCCAAGGTAACCCAAGATATAATTCAAGGTGTTGGGCTAAAGTTGCCGCATATAAAAGGTTAATGGCAAGTAGTTAAGACACTTGCCTCTCTCTAAAAACTAATTTAGTAATACCTAATAAACTTCTCAATTTCTATCATAATCCCAAATCCCACCTCTTCCCACTTCACTATTAATCTAGGTCTTTTGACAAAGTAGTCATTTCAACAATATTATTTATCAAAATGACAACTTTTAAATTCTAATTCCTAATATAACCAAAATAATGACTTAGGGAGTCGATTAAGCCATTAACCAATATTTTTCCTATTAAATCGTTAGTATTTTTTTTTTTACTTTTCGCCTAATTATTAGTTATAAATTGTACTGGGAATGTAAATTATATGTGTTCATAAATTAAATATTCCGTTTTGTTATAGTTGCAATAGTTTGATTTTTACACTATTCATGGACTCTACTTTGTCTAGCTTTAACGATTTATAGTTAAACAAAAATATAGTCATGTGCGATCTTGTTAGATTCGTGTCAATCTATACTATTTAATATTTTAATATCTAATGTTTATACTTTTTACAAATTCACAATAAAAGATATTAACAATTGAAACAATATATTGGCAATCATGAAAAGAGAAGTGTTGCAAGTATAAATAAATTTAAAAAAAAAAATAATAATAAAAAAACAGAGGAAGTACTTAATTGTAACTCATGTTTTTGCTCAAAATCCTCGGATCATATAATCATGTGGTATATATAAGTGATTTTTGTTCATAATTATCAATTATTATGTATTAAGTTAGACTACTCTACCAGTTAAGTAGAAAATACAAATTTGAAGAACACTCATGTATTTGCAGCCTGATCAAATACTATGGTGGCATTGTGCTCTTATATGCTCGATAACCATTTTAAGTTAGGTAATGTTTGGTATGCTTTGATAAAGGTTTAATTTATTTGTTTGTTAAGGTTTCATCCAACTGTTCTCAAATCAATTTGGTTGCAGCATCTAACCTACAAGTTTACGACTCAGCTTGTAAACTGCAACTGTTATCTAGTGTAGTTAATATTAACAATATTAAATGTACATTTTGCTAGTATTTTCTTAAGAACTTTGTAGTTTTGATAATGGAAGTTTGGTAGTATTTTTTTTTCAACATGAAAAAAAATATGCAGTGAATGAAATAATCAACTCCCCTTGTCAATATTTTGGTTCGAATAGGTATCAGAAATTAAAAGTAGTTATTCTGAGATTTAGTTTTGTTAAAATGGCTAATTTCACAGAAGAACCTAATTATTTAGACTTCCTGATTTCCCTTTCCGACTAACTGATACCTTTTTTCTCAAGATTCATTGTACAGTTCCAATTATACCCATCATAAGACTGGTTCATTACGCAAGTTCATAGAACTCCTCAGTTTCATATAAATCCAAGAACCAAAAAAACAACACCCAAGTCTTACTTTTAAAGCTTGATTTAGCATTTCGTCTTGCCCTTGTTTTACAAAGATAAATGGTCTATTCTTAAAAATTAATCAAATATCAAGTGATTCTCCACATCAACCATTGCATTTCCCAATTAAATCCTCACATCTCATTTAAAACATCTAGATCTAATTCTTCACTAGCTTTAATCACTAGAAGACAATCTTATCCAAATAGGATGACACGCATGATAAGCAGGATAAATCACTCATCAAGGGTTAACGAAACTCAATACATCCAGTGATTTCCCTAGTCCCTAGTCCTAATCCTGCCCCCTGGCACAAAATTTACCAAGTCAAATCTAGACAGCCAAACGAAAGGCTTTTAACTACCTATCAAGGAAACAGTTGAGAAAGGATGGATGGAAGGTGAATTTTTTTTTGGGAGACATGACATACCAAGAAATAGACATATTGTAATTTGGAACCTTAAGCTAACTACATTACTAAGTTCTACAAATCATATTCAGAAAATTTCAGCGGAACATTACTATTTTCAACCAATTTATAAAATTTAAAAAAAAATAAGTAAAACAACAACAAAAAGTTTACTTAAAGACATTCAAGATGTGCAAGACATTTTTCATACAAGCAAGAAATATATCACTTGGGAATAATGGCACAAATGCAGGATTCGCATCTATATACTTAACAAAATTCTCTTGCTATGTTGTTCCTCGAGAAATTATTAGAAAAAATTACCATTTGATTATGAAATAATAACAATTAAACCCCTCCAACAAACTACATATCATTTCAATCAAGGATTTTTGTTAAATGCTAGATTTTAAGTATTACGAACTTCTGGAGCCAACCAAAGTAGACTCCTTTGGTATATGTTTCTATGTACTAATGTCCCAGATTGATTAGCATGCTTTCTTTGAACATTTTAAAAAGCAATACATATTTTTAAACAATATATTTCTTGCTTTGTTTCATCCTAATATTATTTTTTAGAAGCAATATATTTCTTGGCTAGAAAAATAATTACCCGCTCATCTAATATTACCCTTTTAAGCTTACATAAGATAAAAGCCAGCATATATAGCAGGACATATTCACATAATAAAAATAAAAATAAAAATTCTTACTTGAAGACAGTGATCAGCCAAAGCCAAGAATGGCTTGGTAAAGCAATAAATACACAGACAGCAGCAGTACCCCATGCAGCAATAACCAGCGCAAATGAGATCTTTGAGACTTTCTGAATTCCACGCTATAGAGAGAATATGCACAAATATTAAATTCAAGAACATACTACAGAAAACATGCCAATAACTCAAACAAAGAATATACCATAAAAATTAACCATGCAGAAGATGCTACTTACCTCATAGATAAAGATTTGGAACAACGTAAATGCTGTCAATAAAACAGCATGTATGGAGAATGCAACATCATTCGCAGCCACAGGAATCATCTGCAACAAGTATATTAGCCAAAGACCAAATTATAAACGACAAGGTGGAGGGACTAAAACAATATTTCATTTACAAGGTATCAGAAACAGCATCTAGTCATATATTTATAAGTCAACATTTGTTCTACCGGCCCTGCAACTATTACTCCACATACGATAAAAAGATACTTTATTGTCTTTTGTCACATCTACTTTTCAATAAAACAACACTCACTATCTCTAACCAAACAACTTATTACCTAAAATTTTGTGTCATGATTAGTGTAAAACTAATATGGGTTGTATAGAGTATTCACAACTAAATTAAGTTCAAATAAGGGCCAACAATTACAAGTAAGAGTCATAAGAGAAATCAAGTTCATAGATATCTACAAGAAATAAAGGGATTTGTCACATAGAACAAACATTGGAATTAAGTGTTAGTTGTACCAGTATAAGATGAAGTAATTTTTGTCATCTTGCACAAGTCCAACCCCAAAATAAAAAGTAGTAATAAGCCACACTTTTTAACAAAACCACAACCATTGACAATTTGAGGCTAAATATTATATTTACACTAAGGATCGAATTATGAAAGTAAATAAACATGCTATAGCTTATATCCATCAAGAGGAAAAGAAGGTTGATCAAAAACCTGTTTTTGGCACAGAGGACAACAATAATTAAATAAACAAATTAGAGCCAATGGGTTTCTATTTGCTAGTCCCAAGCTTTGATAAAGGAGGAGGGTTACGGTAGGCCAATGACAGCCAACTTTATCATATCGCACTTGACATGAAACACAATGATTGAAAGTAGTACTAGGACGGGAGACCTCCTTAGAAGTCCTCATGTTGGTTCATATAACCGACCCTACTTATGGAATTAAGGCATTCAAGCAAAAGAAGAAGAAGAAGAAGAAGACTAAAAACAAATTGGGTGAACATAGAATTTCTCGGATTTAAAGTACTTACAACATAAAACTTCTAATTTAAACTATCAATATATATAACAGATATTAAACAAGGTAAAAGTATAATTTATAAAAAAAAACTTGCAACTACAATAACCTAGCCTTTTCCTCTTACTAATATTAAGACTTAAAATTATGTTATACTAGTTTAGGTCCCGTGTCATGCACGGTAATTTTAAAATTTAATATTAACTTTTCAATGATATAAGTAGTTATTTTACAAAAATCTATTAATAAAAATTAATAAATACATACTACTTTAATGCGAATTTTAATCAATAAATAAACAACTATTTTATTAAGGAAAAAAATACGAATACTTTCTTGAAGTAAATTAAAATATGTCGCAAATTATGTTAATATTTCCTATTATAGTCATAGATGTTTAAATAATTATTTATTATTAACATATGTAAGAAATTACTTTTGTAAAAAAAAACCTAATAAGAACACACTTACAGACCTAGAGATGACACATGTCATTGCTGGTAAGTCTTTTAATATATAGTTATTTATGATTTATTGATAAGTTGTCCATCTATTTCCTCTATTTCGATTTGTCAAGGAGGGAGTAGGTGATTATGCTACTAATTCAAACACTTTTCATTTTCATCCATCACAAATAAGTATGAATACTTCCCTACCAAGTACCAAAAACTTCGGGCTACACTATCTCTAAAGTCTGAAATTCAATAAAAGTAATACCCAACTATCTTATGTCACATCTACTTTTTCAAAAAAATAATACTTAATTATCTCATATCCTAAGAAACAAGTGTAATATTGAAACAACTTATCACCTAATAGCACAACAAAATTGTTTGAACTATATATTCGAGATAAGCATTAAATTTTCACTTTGATCTCATCCTATAGTTTTTTGTAAACCTTGGGTGATAATGCATGAGCGAGGCATGTTCTTGAACAATTTGAGCTGACCCGGTCAAAGCTCGATCCGTGGTGGCTCGCCTGAGTTCGGCTCGAGACCTTAATGAGCTAAGTTGAGTTATACCAAGCTCAACTCGAAAAGTTTGTGAATAGACTCAAATAGTCTTTTCCATATAAAAAATAAATTATGTGTATACACATAAATTCATAAGTTAGTATTTTCATTGTACAAAATTAATTCACAGCAAATTTAATAATATAGTTTGACTTCAGCTTAGTTAATGCTTGGTCAAAGCTCAATTCTTAAAGTTTCGAGTTCCAGTGTGAACAAACATAAATGAAGCCGAGCTGGTCATAGTTAGGGCTTGGCTTGTTCAATTAGCACCTGTACCTTTGAGCATATCCTTAAATAGATTCTACATTTTTTCTTTTTTTTTTTTTTTTTTTTTGTGTGTTTTACATACTCTTTAATGGACCTGGTCCACAGTAATTAGTTATTGTGGACCATTATATTAGAGACACTATGGTTGTAAATTAATATTAAAAAAAAAGTTTACTATTTATAATAAAGGATATTATGTTGAAATAAAAGTCATTGTGATATTATTAAGGCTATAAGATGTTTTTTTTAATGAATTCTTTTATATACACGTCAATATACATAATAAAGGTTACTATGTTAAAAACAAGGTCATTATGTTTAACATAATGTGTTTTCAAAAAAAAAAAAATGTTTAACATAATGTTGTACGGTTTACAATAATATTGAATGCCACACAAGTTTGAATAAAGGAAGGTTACCATATTAAAAACAAGGTTAATATGTTGAAATATAGTCTGATATAACGTCAATTGAGTGAGTATAAATTTGAGTTTACAATATTATTATTGAGGATTAGATCTACACAAGATTTTCTTGGTGTAGAGAAAGCCAAGAATTGGCATAATGTATCGGAAAAATTGATTCTAATAATCCCACCTTTGGCTGGTTCGCTATTAATAATCCCACCTTTGGATTATTATTTAATAATCCCACCTTTGGATTATTATTTAATAATCCCGCCTTTTTAAGGGATTTTCTTCTATTGGTCCCTAACTTGTTGGTAACCGGTTTTGATAAGTTAATATGCCATGTGTCATTCTGTAATTGGTTGTTTTTTTTAAAAAAAAAAAAGTTAAAAACTTAAAAAAAAAACGGAACCCTAACCCTCGTCCCTCGCCCTAGCCCCACAAAAAATCGGTCGGCCGCCACCCTAAACCCCCCGTAAACAGCCGGCCGGAACCCCCAATACCAGAACCCACCCAGCCGACCAAAAGGCACCCACGATATCACCCTTTAAAACGAATCCAACCCCGAAACCACCATAACTACCACCTTGAAAAATGCTATAAACCATCGAAAACCTCCTCTCGCCGCCAAAAACCACCGAAAAGACCCTCTAGCCTTTGAAACTCCTACCCAAGCCATCCCCTTCTGCTATTGAAGGTTTTTTTTTCCTTAATTTATTGAAATAATGGCTGGTTGGGTTCGAAATAAGGTTAATAAGGTTTCCGGCGTTCCAACGGTAGGGATGCGGGTTCCGGCGGTATGGATGGGCGCGCGTTCCGACGGTGGGGATGGGGAGGAGAGATGCCGGAGGGTTGGTGGTTAGGGTGGTTGTTGGGGTTGGTTGGGTTTTTAAAAGAATTTTTTTTATCAGAATATTTTTAAAGGTTTTTGGTTTTTCTCTTTGACCAATTATTTGGTGACATGTGTCACTCAAATTAAAAAACAAAATAGTTTACCTAATGTACAGGTTACCGGTCACTAAGGACCAATAGAAGAAAATTCCTTACAAAGGTGGGATTATTAAATAATAATCTAAAGGTGAGATTATTAACAGCAAATTGGCCAAGGTGAGATTATTAGAATCAATTTTTCCTAATGTACCAAACTATCTACAATTTAATAGCAAAAATAGGCAAATACTACAAAATTATCTAAAATTCCAAGTTCTACCACGAATCCTTGATTCAATGTCGTTATTGATTATTTGATTCATCTTACCATTGCCAAACTACTCCCAAATTCACTTTTGTTATCTAAGGTAAAGGTAAGCCTTTCTTATTTGTTTATAAATATATACAGTATATTTTTTTTTTTTCTATTCGTTATAAAAAGTTTGATATTTTTTTTAAACAACAAAGTTTGATTACTTGAATGACGCAATTTAACAATTAGTCAATAAACCATGCCACTATGCCAGAAAGAAAATAAGCAGGAAAGAAAGAGCGATCACCTCGTCACGGCCATACTTGTCGCGGTATTGATTCTGAACAACCGAGCTGAAGTAAAGGGTAGCATTGTAAGTAAGATACGTGCTATGCTTTGTCAGATTCAGCACCACGAAATCAAAGTTCAAGCCCACCACACTGCACCATTAAATTATACGAGTTAACAAATATCGTCACAGACATGGTTACGACCCATTTCAATTAAACATGATCATACAAGAAACAAAAAGAGGAATCACAAACCTTTTACGGCGGTAATTGAGAATAACTTGAGGGTAGAAACTGATAGACCAAGAGAAGAAAGCAATCCATCCAAATATCTGGTATATAATTTCTAACGGAAATGAATTCCATGCCATAATTTAATTTTTACTGCTTTTGAATCTGAAAATAAAATTTGTTGAGAATGAGTTGCTTCTGATTGTGTTTGCCGTTTTACAGGAATCTAATCTATGGATTGAGAAATGGGGCTGCTGTAGGACCAATGATTATGGGCCACCACTTTGGTAAGTAATAAAGTCAGCAAATGGAACTTGGACGGGTAAATAGGTTTGTTCATTTCATTGAATTTTAGGACACATACATTGTGAACACAAGGATTAGTACATGGGTTGGTTAATATAAATACGGAAAGGAGGAGAAAGTCCTAATACATCACCGTTAGAAATAAACAAAGGCAAATTTGTCAAAAAAATAAAAAATCTTTTAAATGCACTATTTTGCGAAAAAAAAAAAAACCTTTTAAAAGCTTTTTTGTAAAAGAAAACCCAAACACATCTAATTTTTGTTGAAGACAACATGATACCTCTAATTCACCTGATTAACCACTAATTACTTCTAATTAATCTCTAACTATTTAATAATAAAATTAGTTTATTAAATTAAAAAAAAAAAACACAAACCACCATCTCCACCACCAGCCAGCCACCCACTCCCTTTCCCCCTCCCATAGCAGCAGCCCCACCATCGACTAAGCCACCATAATCATAGCTCCCATCCAAGCCAACCACAAAAACCACCCCAGCCACAACCTACTACCAGCTAGCCTAAACCCGTCGTCAACCACCCCCAAGAAACCGCCTCACTCCCATCGCCAGCCCACCACGAAAATATCTACACCTAGAAACATTAACTCGACCACGAATTCTCGAAATACAACTTCGTGTTCAAAGAAGGTTGAGAACAATAATTAGAGTTTGCACAGTTGGAGGTTTCTCGCGAAAGAAGTCGGGGCAGGCAAAGCTTCCGCAAGGGCCCTCTTCCCGTGGAAGGAGGAGAGAGAAATTTCAAGGTGAAATTAAAGTCTTCATTTGATAAATTAGGGTTTTTGTGAGAAAATTTAAGGAAATTGAGATGGAGAAGCCATTGATAACCATGATTAAGCTAGGAGAGAGAAAGATGAAACTAGGAATTTTTGGAGGAAATTGATGAAGAAGGAATGAGGGGGTTGGGGGAAAGGGTTGTGGGTTGTCGGACCGGCGGTATAGGTTCAAGCCGGCGGCTCAAATGGGGGAGGGGGCTGCTGTCAAGGGAGGGGGAAAAGGAGAGGGAGGGGTGGCTGGATGGCTGGTGGTGGGCAGGTGGGGGTGGGATTCTTTTTTAAATTTATAAATTAATTTAATTATTAAGTAGTAAAATATGAATTAGAGGTTAATTAGAAGAGATTAGAGGTTAATTAGATGTATTAGTAGGACTAGGTTGAGTTTCCTTTTATGAAAAAGCTTTTAAAAGGTTTTTTTCGCAAAATTGTGCATCTAAAAGGTTTATTTTGACAAATTTTCATAAACAAAATTGCATAATAGCCTTTTGTAATACTAGAAGCCTTTTTATGACTACTGAGATGTTTTTTTCAGTACTACTTTAAGTGTCTTTTGTACTACTGAAATCATATATAGTACTACTGAGAATTTTCAGTAGTACTATATTGCTTCTTAGTAGTACTCTTTAAATGTCATTATTTACAAAATCGTCATTGTTATGTATTGTAGGGAATAGTTTCAAGCCTTAAAATCCCACTAGCTCGAACCCCACTGTGATTACACACTAAAGTACGGTGGCGTCCAAAAGGAAAAAAGATAGAGCAAAAGAGTCGCCAACAAGTTTTTAAGGAACTTGTAAACCGTTCATAGGATGAAGGTTATACCCCTTAACGATCCAAGAGATCGTCAACTCCATAAGGTCATGAACCAAATAAGGGTTCGGGGATGATGGTACAAATCCAACATAAAAGAGATTGAACCTGCCCTAATAATAGGCCTCTACTCTATTCTGCTCGTATTCATGTGCGCTTTCTGACTAACATACAATCAATAGGATTAACCCTAAACCTGTTTAATCTATGTTGGTTGAATATAATGCACAAATAAATCTATTATTGACGATCACTTGAATTATAATCACATTAACCCTAACAAGATTATTAAATATCTTATTAAGCGTGATGACAAGTACAAATTCCCTTTAAACATGCATCAAAGGTGTGATCAAGCAATAAAGAATAAATAATGTACCAAGCAACATAATCAATAATATCACAACAATAAAAATATAATCATCAATAAAAATAATAATAAATAATCACAATCATCATAAATTATAACAATTATAATCATAATCATTTTCACGTTAATATTAAAGCATAATAAAAATAGCAAGATCATAGGCATGATACTAACAAGATTAATAACAAACCCTAGCATGTCAGTAAGCAATAAAAATCAAAGCTTCAACCCTAACATGGTACTAACAATCATAAATATTAGGAAGAGCATAGGAAGCATCGTAACAATCATATTTAATATTAAAAATACCCTAGACATGATACTAGGAATATCATAATAACAATATAAACATGATGTCTACATCATAAAATCAATTAAAACCATTAAAGTACTTACTTTAATGCCTCGTACCTCTTTCTAATAACAAAATACACACGTTAGTAACTTCAAGGAAAATAATAATCAAAACAATTAAATTAAATAATTGAAAGAGAGATTTGGGACCAAACCCTCAGAAATTAAAACCTTTCACGTCTAGGGCGAAGGCAACTTCGAATATGGCTAGGTGTTTCTAGATCTTGTGAATGCGGAATTTTGTATGAAAAAGCAAGAAAGAATTGAAAGCTAAAGAATATTTGAGAGTGAGAGAATTGGATGAAGGAAGATGATGAAATCTGGTGTATGAAAACGGAGTTTTTGATACGATATTTATAGAGAAAATCAGCCAAAAAAGATAATTTAACAAAACAGAGTCTGAAGATCGCAAAACAGCATTGGCGCCAACCCTGGCTAGCTGGCGCCAGGCACCAGTGGCTAGCGCCAGGCGCCAATGGCTAGCGTTTGGCGCCAAGCCTGGTTCCAGACGCCAAGGCCTGGGGTTGGACGCCAGTCTTGATTCTAACGCGTTTTCGAAAATCCGATAAGTTTACCGTACTAGAGGATAAAATAATATAATTTCTTCGAAAATGCTATTTGATCTTGATTAAAACTCTGAAAAGTCAACAAAGTCAACTTATCAATGCTAATTGAATTAGGAATGAAAAGAACCTTCTAGAAGATTCTAGAAGACTAAAACCATTCCTAATTGCATTAGGAATGATAAATCATATTAGGCCCTCCCCTAGATCATTGGGCCGTACATAAAGCTCAAACCGGGTCCAGTTTAGTAAATTGGCCATAACTTCCTCAATATTCATCGGAATTGGGCTTATAATATATCGTTGGAAAGGTCTTTGCAAGCCCCATCCAACTACACCACTATTGGACCCATATCATGGACCAACAAAACTGGATTGTCTGTTTTATTAAAATAAAGTTTTCCAAAACAGAGAGAAGAGAAAAGAAATAAAACTTTCTGCAACACTAGACCTTTCCACACTTTCGTTTCATTCGATTATGATTCGACGTGAAAGGTACTCATCACTGGGTTTGGTTTTGGGAAGACACAAATGGGTGTCTACATGTATTTGTTTGTGCCTAACTGTGAGGCCCTAGGAAGCGCTCAATACAGAGCACTCGATAACTCCCTACGTTTCTTAATAACGGAACCTCTTCTGTATTTTAAAAAGTGTTCCTTTCTTAATAATACTTCCTCCATTTTTAAATACTTTTTTCATTTTTTCATACGAAGAGTTTTAGAGAAAATTAGATAAAGTAATAAAATATGGAGATAGGGGGGTAGGGGGAAAAATAAAAAATTGTAAAAAGCAAAACTATTTGAGAGAATTGGAGAAGAGAAAATATGAAATTATTAAAATATTGATTTTTGTTGTGTCCACTAGGTGAGAGAAAAGAATTAAATATTGTAAAAGATTTCAAAATAAGGAAATTAAGCAAGTGTTTAAAAACAACCGGAAGAAGAAATAGGAGGGTGTACTTAAAAAGGTTCATTATGGAAAGCAAAATTTTATGATGGAAGTGGGTACGTTACAAAATTAAATAGGGAAACTCTCTTTGATAATTACAAACTTTCTTTTTTACTAAAATCAATTTTTTTTTTTTAGGAAATTTTGTCTAAAACCACCCACCAAATATTGTATTTTGTCAAAACCACTAAAAAAAATGTTCACCCAAATACAAAATTTTGTTGTATAAGACCACCTGGCTCAACTATCTGGCTTTGACCTCAAAATTCGGCGTTAAATCCGGGCACGTGATAAGCACGTGAACCCCCACTCCCTTTTCTTTTATTTTCTTTCTCGATTTTTGTGGCTATTAAGACCACCACCAGCCCACACCCCACACTACCAACCCCCACCTCATGAACACCAGCTCACCCAACCAACACAACGACCCCAACCGCGCCACTCCCACCAGCCCTTTCCCCACCATCACACACAACCCCACATCAATACAACGACCCCAACCACTAACCTTCCTACCACCACTCCCACCAGCCCTTTCCCCACCGTCACACACAACCACACAACACCACCAACACGACAACACCACCACACAACACCACCATTTTAGAAAATTAACGCCAAAAACTAAAATTAACCTATTACAACGAAGATTAGCGCAAAAAATAAAAATTTACCCCAAAAAACCAAAAATCAATCCCAAAAAACCGAAAATTAACCCAAGAATCAAAAATACCACACAAAAAAAAAATCAAAACCACCATTAGATCTACAAATTTAATTGCGACGGTGGTTATTGCCTTTGTGGTTGTTAGTGTTGCGCCGTTGTTGTTGCAGTTGATGTTGGTGGTGATTGATTGACGTTGGTGGAGGTGTTGTTGCAAATTCGATGTTGGTGGTGGTTGGATGACGTTGGTGGAGGTGTTGCTGCAGCATTGTTGTTGCTGATTATCGTTGATGTTAGTTGGTGGTGGAACGAGAGAGAAGAGGAGGGACAAAGAAAAGCAGTAGAGAAGAAGATGATTAAGAAAGAGGAGGGAGGACAAGAGAAGGAGAAGAAGAGAAGGAGAGAAGAAGAGGAAATAGAGGAGAGAGAAAGGGAAGCCAAAAAAGTCAAGGGGGGGAAAAGAAAGGGGGAGGGGGGTCACAAGCTTATCACGTACCCAGAGTCAACGTCGGATTTTGAGGTCAAAGCCGGAAAGTTGAGCAAGATGGTCTTACACAACAAAATTTTGTATTTGGGTTGTCTTAGACAATTTTTTTTTTTGGTGGTTTTTGACAAAATACAGTATTTGGTTGGTGGTTTTAGACAAAATTGCTTTTTTTTTTTATTATTATCAATGGTAATCACAATGTAATATTATTAAGTTAATGGTAACATTAATGATATCAAAACATAATTAAACGGTTAACTAGGGTTAATCTTGGTTAAGTATCAATAGATTTAAATTAGTACACTTTAAATTATTTTTAAAAAAAAAATACAAAAACTCCAAACCCCTCCCCAGCCAACCGCCAGCCCCCCTCCCGTCGGCTCTCAGCTCGGCCCGGCTGACAGCGTCTTAACCCCTTTCTTCGCCAGAGACCCTAGCACTGACACCCCAATCCAAAAGCAAGCACCCTTTCCACCCTCTATCTCCTCTCATCACCGTAAAAACCGCTTCTCGGGGACGCCAGAATCAACCACCCTCCCTAGCTGCAATTAGCCACCCTCCCCCCTTCCCCTATTCCCTATGATCTCCTTCCCCAATTCCTTCTCCCTTCCCCGATTTTTGGTTTAAACTTCTCGGATTTTTGGTGATTTTGGGGTCGAATTTGTTGATTTAATTTGGGGGTCGAATTTGTTGATCTTTGGGGTGAAATTTGTTGATTTTGGGTCAAATTTGTTGATTTTTGGGGTCAAGTTTTTTGAATAAATGGTCGATTTGTCGAAATTGGGTCAAAATTTTAAATTTGGGGTCGAATTTGTTGAATTTGTTGATTTTAAGGTTGAATTTTTTTATTTTCTAGGGTCTAATTTGTCGAACTAGTGATCAAATATGTCAATTTGGGGTCAAATTAGTGGTCGAATTTGTTGATTTTGGGCTTGAATTTGTTGATTTTTGGGGTCAAATA